GGCCAGGGCAACCTGCAGAAAAGTACAGGGAGAGGGAGAGGACACACTACGGGAGGGCGGAGACACAAAGTTAGTGATGTGTAATGGTGGCATATAGAAGCATAGGGAGAGAGAGGAGAGGAGAGGAGAAGAGAGGAAAGGGGAGAGAAACTCAGAGCATCATGGGGCCCCCCAGCAGCCTAGGCCTATAGCAGCATAACTAAGGGAAGGCTCATGGTCACCTGATCCAGCCCTAACTATAAGCTTTATCAAAAAGGAACGTCTCAAGTCTAGTCTTAAAGGTAGAGAGGGTGTCCGCCTCCCGAACTGAGACTGGGAGTTGGTTCCATAGGAGAGGAGCTTGATAGCTAAAGGCTCTGCCTCCCATTCTGCTTCTGTGGACTCTAGGAACCACAAGTAAACCTGCACTGTGAGAGCGAAGTGCTCTGTTAGGATGATAAGGCTCTACGAGGTCTTTAAGATACGATGGAGCCTTGTCATTAAGGGCTTTGTATGTTAGGAGAAGGATTTTAAATTCTATTCTGAATTTTACAGGGAGCCAGTGGAGAGAAGCTAATATGGGAGAGATATGATCTCTCTTGCTCGTTCCTGTCAGTCCTCTGGCTGCAGCATTTTGGATTAACTGGAGGCTTTTTAGGGAATTATTGGGATATACTTATAGTAAAGAGTTACAGTAGTCCAGCCTGGAAGTGACAAATGCATTGACCAGTTTTTCATCATCACTTTGAGACAGGATGCTCCTGATTTTTGCAATATTGCGCAGGTGAAAGAAAGTAGATCTAGAGACTTGGTTTATGTGTGATTTAAAGGACATATTCTGATCAAAGATGACTCCAAGGTTCCTCACAGTAGTACTGGAGGCAAGAGCTATGTCATCTAAAGTAACTATATGATTAGACAGCAGATTTCTAAGGTTTTCAGGCCCAAGCACAATAACTTCAGTTTTGTCAGAGTCTAGAAGTAAGAAGTTGCAGGTCATCCACAGAACTCTGCAAGCCTGGACACATGAGACCAGAACTCTGTGGCCCGACTGGCCGACCACTGCGAGCCTCCAGCAGAAACCTGCTGCTTGGACTCTGGTTCACACGGCTCTCAGTACCTGCAGAAACAGTTCCTGTTGCTGGTTGGCGGCAGGAGGCTGAAAGCCGAGCGCTGGGTCAGAGCTGGGCGTGAGAGGCCAACATACACTGAGGAAAAAGAGAGAGAGAGTTGGCCTTCGTAGGTGGCTTTATTTTCATTGACATGAATTCTAAGGAAAAACTCAGTGGTAAAGACAAATGTTTACATCAAAACCAGAAATCCACAACTAGCACTAATAGTTTTCATCCAGCATCTGTCTGAGCAGTGTTTTACTAGAGAAAGTTGAGATTAAAACGACTAATCAGGCAAATTAATGCAGCAGATGAAAGGCAAGAACACAAAACAATAAAATATTGAAATAAATTAATAAAAGATTAATACATTTGAGAACAGAAAAATAAGACTGGTAACATTACAAATAGATTGTTAAAGTGATTAGAAGATCATGGAATGATTGTCTTATTTGATCAGTAAATGGTTAATAGTTGTTCTGAATGGAGCAGAATCAGAGTTACTGGCTGAGTTGTTGGACACACAGGGAATCGGACTCCGGTACAGAAATGATTTTTATGATTTCACTCTTTTTGTGGCTGTGTGGACAAACTTGAAGTCAGTGCCATGGCTGTGAGGACATTTCTACTCTCTGAGGACAGTTTTGTGATCCTCACCCCTTCACAGGGCTGTTAGAGGGTTCAGACTTGGTCTCGGGGTTCAGATCGGAACCAGGTTTAGGTCCAGGGTTACGGGCTCTTTGGGGTTAGATTTTGATGGATGTGTGGGATTCTTGAAACCTGACTCACGCCGGGACCAGACGCGCTCCATGGTGCCGAAGCTGTGTGTGTTTACTCAGATCAGGTTCGTGTTTGGTTTCTTCTCATGTTTGTTCACAGTTGTTTTCCTGGCCTGATACTCATAGACCCCGTTAAAGGACCCTACTGGTGTTTTTTCTGGGTTGGAGCTGCAGGTTTAGTATCAGCAGTGAAGGAGCCCTGGTACTAACGAAGGAAGTGGCTTCTCATGGCGTCTGCCATTAGTCCATATTCACCAGTTTCTCAGTATTTCTAAGTGAAAACTGGTACAAAGGACAACGCGTCAGGTTTTACACATCAGTCACAGATTTGATAACCTTTCCCTTCCGACAGATAATTTCTCTGGGATTCATGAAAACCTTTTTGTTTCTGGTGGCGCTGTGTGTTTCAGATTGTGTACTTCACAGCAACCTTCCCCTACGTGGTCCTCGTCATCCTGCTGGTCCGAGGAGTCACACTTCCTGGAGCCTACGACGGCATCATGTATTACATCAAACCCAACTGGACCAAACTGGGGGAGGCTCAGGTCAGTTCACTGTTGGACTGGGACCAGACTGAGTCCCTGATCTCAGTGTGACAGCAGATGACAAGCTATGACAGCTTTGACCTCTGACCTTTCTGCAGGTGTGGATAGACGCCGGCACACAGATCTTCTTCTCCTACGCCATCGGACTGGGAGCTCTGACTGCACTGGGCAGCTACAACCGCTTCAACAACGACTGCTACACACACACACACACACACACACACACACACACACGATCTTACAGAAACAAAAGAAAATCCAGAAAGAAACAGCTGTTAATAATCAGAGGGAGGGACAAGCTCCCAGTATCCACTGGTGCCCCTGAGACGCCTGAATGTTCCTCCTGCTTCCTGTTCTCTGCAGGGACGCCTTCATTTTGGCTCTGATAAACAGCGGAACCAGTTTCTTTGCTGGTTTTGTTGTGTTCTCTATCTTGGGCTTCATGGCTGCAGAGCAGGGGGTCGACATCTCGCAGGTTGCTGAGTCAGGTGAGGCACAACGCACAACCACATGTTTGTGTTTCCAAAAACAGGCTGAGAACAGCACCACTCTTCACACTTGGTGGACTTAGAAAGAGTGGCCTGCTGTGTATACACTGCTCCGCCAGCATCTCCCACTGGGTGAGTGCAAAATGACACACAAAATCAGCAGCAAAGGGTGTGTAGGACTACCTGGATGTTGCAGTCTGAGGTTTTCATGTGAAGACTCGGGCACTGAACAGGTCCAGAGACTCAGCTGTGTAGTTGAATGTGTACATTCTTCAGCCAACTGCACACTGTTTATTAACAGCTGTGGCGTATCACAAACACACCCAGTTTAAACAACATGGCCCCACCGAGGCAAATGTGTTTGTGCGTCCTGAATGCCGGTTTTTTCTTCTTTTTTGTGTGTTTTTTACTTTTTCTGCAGTGCACAAATGTCATGCACTGCTTACATACAACAGACAGGCATTGCTGGATATCGCCAATTCATGTGAAAAAAGGACTCACCGGGTCTTTGGATTTACACAAATTATGCTAGTACGGAAGAGTATTAGGGCCACTGCATACATTTTTTTTCAAATTCTGACTTTAAAGTCAGCATTCTGACTTTATTCTCAGAAT